GAGACAGTTTTAAGGCATTGCACAATTAATGGTGATGTATTGGTTTCATGCCAAGATTCTAGTATTGGAAACTCAACAGTATGTTGGTGACCTGAGAAACACTATCTTGTTAGTTATCGATACTAGTCACTTAAACACTACCAATAAGAAATCACTCTATTCCCTAAAGGCATGATTGTAGAAAAAAATTTCACAATAGATATACAGTAAAATCCCTCCTTAGTGAAAGTGCTACTTAGCTAAGACTATCTGATTTTCTTTTTTTAAATATCAAAGTTTACCCAGAATCTTTGTTATATGGTAAAATTATAAGTTCTAATACTAATTTTCTTCTTGGCACTGATCACATTTCCAAATTATCCACTAATTTTGAAGATAATGATTTTTTTTTTAAATAGAAAAGTGTCAATTACTATTTTTGAGGGGTTGATTTGTTTACCACATCTTCAGAATACCAGCATCCTAACCCAAGGATCCATGAGTGGGAACACTGGTAAAAAGTGTGACCATTGTCCAGCTATTTTGGCTCAGTGGTTCAGCATCGGTCTATGAACCAGGAGTTCACAGGTTTGATTCCTGGTCAGCACAAATGCCTGGTTTGCAGGCTTGATCCTCAGTGGGGGGTGCAAAGGAGGCAGCCAATCAATGATTTGCTCTCATCATTGATGTTTCTCTCTTTCTCTCCCGCTCCCTTCCTCTGTGAAATCAATAAAAATACATTTTATAAAAAAGAGGAACACCTGGGTCTCCAGCAGCCTCTGTGTCACTCAGCCACAATCCCCTCTTTTTCACAGCCCACACTCTGGTGTTGACCAACTTCAGTGCCTTCAGACCGCAAATGATGAACATGTGTAATCAAATTATCTTGAGAAAAATTTCTTCTATTGTATAATGGTTTTGTCTTTTGCTTTCTTTTTTTCTGGGTGGGAAATAAACAATCAGAGTTACCTCCCAAGGAATGGTCATTTTTTAATCATAAAGAAAGAAGAGAAACAGATATTGAATCATACCATTAAGGACTCCCTTTTCATTCTCCATTTTTTAAGCAAATTCTTGCATAATAAGGCCCCAGTTTGTTGACACACACTCCTCTCTCTCTTCTTCATGTTGCCCTGTTTCATAAGAAAAGAAAAGGGGAGAAGGTAAAGCATATATGAAGGTCTTAATGGGAAAAAAATCCTGCAAACACACAAATGAGAAGCCTGAGAACTCCAGTGTTCTGAATCTGAGTGCCTAGTACCTGAGTGTTCCAAAGTTAGCATTTTATTACTGGACCTGCTCCCCGCTGCCCCCATCTTTCTCACGAATAAGTTCTTGTTTTGGAGGATTTTTCTTTCATTGTGTTTTATACTCATGTTAAACCTGGTTTTTCTTTGCTTCTAGTTTTGCCCACATTCTTACCTTCTGCTAAATTTTATCAACCTTTCATTCTCCTGTCCATGTTTCCCCTCTCATCCTAAAGATATCAAGGTTACTCTTTTAAAAAAATGAAAACTTTTGAAACGTAAAAGAATTATTTATTTACTTTTGTTGTTGTTTATTCAGGATGGTTATTTTGTATTTTAGTTGTAATTCCAGATTTGCCTATAGATTGTACAGGTTTCTATGGGGAGGCTGTCATGCATTTGAGCTTGGGCTCCAGATGGAGATAGAAATTCGACCCGACTGCGCTCAGACAGGCGTTAGTTGGGTGAAAAAGCCAGAACCCTCTGACTTGTGTGGAGGCCAGCTTATTGTGAAAACATTCCAGGGACTCTGCTCAAAATTATTGTCTGCAAGCAGCATTATGCTTCTGTAGATATTGCACCAGGAATACACAGCAGACCACAGCCTTCCTCCAAGTAGAAGTAGCAAGTCACAGATTTAGCATATGCAACCTTGAGCACAGGAGAGAGAGGAGAGAGTTGGAGTTGTGGTGGTGAGGATTAGGTAGGGGAATTTATACATAGTTTTTTTTCAGCAAGGGCCCAGAATACCTCCCAGAAGGAGGTGCCTCAATGCCTAACAACTGTGCCACATCTTTCCATTGCCTCATAACCAATATCACAGAACACGATCTGCTGAGCCTGCCCTGAACACAATGGGACGGGAATGCTCGCAAAGCTCACTGCAGGAGCAAACTGTGCATCTGAGCTGATCTCTAGGAAGTAAGGGGATTCTGGGATGATCCCTAGTTTTCTGGGAAGCATGACAGGTGACTCGGAAGACTAGGTCAGGACTTTTGAGCACAGAGCAGCATCTCCACCCTGAATTTGGCGTTTAAGTCCTGAACCTGGAGCAAGCAGTCTGCTCCCTCTATGTGTACACAACATTGGCCAGGGATAGAAAGCAGGCCGTTGTCACGGACTCCTCCATCGTGATAACGAGTGGGTGAGTGTGCCCCTGCCTGAAGCTCTCATTCCATTCGTGGAAGATGCCGACAGGGCTGTGCTATTTCCTGGAGACAAAACTGGAGAAATGGGTCTGGAAGCCGGTTCCAACGCCAGGCTTATTACCCAAGACAGTCTCCGAGGGCATTGCCAGAGGAAGAACCTACACGTGGATGTTTCGTGAGGCCGAGAAGCAAGACTAGGGAGGAGAGGACTGAGTGAAGAGGCTGGAGAGCCCATGGAGAGACAGGTGGAGGGAGGAAGAGATTCTTGGAAAAAAGCATTAGGTGAGGGTGTCCAGTGAGAGGGGCTCAGGATCCCCATAGATGGTTCTAGTGCAGAGAATTCAGAGTAACCACTTAAAAAAAATCCTCACCCCCTCTGATATAAGAGACACATTGACTGGCTGCCTTCCATATTCTCCCCCACCCCAACCCACCCCTCAAATGGGGCTGAGGATTGAACTTGCAAGTCAGGTATGTGCCCTTGACTGAGAAGCAGACCTTTGACCCTTTGGTCTGAAGGTTGATGCTCTAATCACTGAGAAAAACCATCCAGGGCCAGAATAATCACTTTTAAAGAGACTATGCAGGGCTGTGCAGGTGGGTAAACTGGCCAAGAGGGCGATCTCCTCACTGTGAAAATGTCAGTGTGGCTCCAGCCCCTTAGCCTTTCCATTGTAAATTAGCACCACCTACTGTATTTTCCCTGAGCTTACGTATGTTCTGTAGTTTATCCAAAGACTAACAACCAGGTGAATTCCTTTTTATACAAGCAGTAGGCAGTTTCAAAGGGTACCAACTCTGATCCTCCCCCTGTCCTATGGCTGTTGCATTCAGAACAAAATGTTGACACGGCAGGCGTGTGAAAGCTCTGTGTCCTGCAAAACATATGAGTGTTGGGATGAGGAAAAGCTGCACATTTCACATTTGCACCCAATACGTGGTGTGCACAGAGCAGAAAACCCTGGAAGGCAGCTTTCATTTCTAAAATTCTTAGAGCCCAAGCGTGAGAGGCAGGAACAATAGACACGCAAGGGTGCGAAAAGCAGGCTCACAGTCTATCATATGGAAAATGAGACAATAATTAGCAAATAATTATAACACAAGAATAAACGTTGTGCTTCATATACTCACAACAGTCAAACTGCTTTTGCCCACCCCTGTACTTCTGTAAATGTTTTTCATAAACAGACTCAAAGTCAGAAAAAGAAGTTTATCACAATGCCCCCAAGATATTGTGCAATAAAAGTGAAGACCTTCAAAGACAATCTAGGTTTACAAATAAATTCTCAGTATTCCTAGTTCTCCACAATCTCTGAACAAATTTCAGCTTATTCCTACATTCAGTTTCTGGCTTGAAACCACATAACAGGTGCAAAACTTTTAAACAATGTATGTTTTAACTCAGTCTTACAATTTTCATTTTTACAATTTTAAGTACCAGATGTCCAAACACATCCAAATAGTCCATTCATTTTCAAAATGGTTTCTCTATAGATAGTTGGCTTTCAATTCCTAAAGACTTATTCATAATTTTGTGATACGAAAAAACACACACCTTCAAACAAAACGGAAAAAGACAATGAACTTACCTTTGAGAAACCTGAAGCACATAATGTAGAAACACATCATACCCAGCGGTCTCCTTTTATAGAAGGAAGCAAGTCACATTGTTTCCTGAACTCGGCCACAACTATAGATTTTTCTTTAACTGTTTGGCTTCCAGAAAAAGTTCCGGGGGAGACTACTTCCACAAGAGGCTATGATCTCAGTTCTGTTGGCCCTGCCAAAAAGCACACTCATGTGACTGCCCTTGGACTATTTCTCTCTGTGTGTGTGTGTGTGTTTTTGTCAAATTGAGTAATTATATTTATCTTCATTCTCAGTGTTTCAGTTGAGTTAACAGAAGCATGAGAGTTTCAGAATAAATTTATTTTTTACCAAGTAGCAGACCCAAGAAAAAGTTAAAAACGTTTTAACTCATCAATACATGTATCCTTGGGTAAGGATTAAAACAAAAAAAGGCAGCTGGGTCTTCTAGTTGAATCAGAGGACCAAACGTCAATAGTCTCTTTTTTCTTTTTCTTTTCAGTGTATTCAGGCACAACTCTTTGTAGTCCCCAGGTGATTGTTTAACTCCAAAGCATTTCCTTGTGTTTTATTATTTTAAAAAATATATTTTTTATTGATTTCGGGGAGGAAGGCAATAAGAGAGAGGGTTAGAAACATCAATGATGAGAGAGAATCATGGATCAGCTGCCTCTTGCATTTCCCATACTGAGGATCGAGCCCACAACCCAGGCATGTGCTCTGTCCAGGAATGGTATCATGACCTCCTGGTTCATAGGTTGACACTCAACTGCACAGCCACACTGGCTGGGCTCAAGAAGCTCTCTTGAGCTCCTACTTCTCTCCCCAGGAGGCAAAAGCATCAAGTTTGGATTGAGGCAGTTCTGGGATTCTG